TTATATTATCATTTAATTGAAACATTTTCAGATACGGATAATTGGTAAACAAAAAAGAAATGGAAATTAAAATAGATGACTGGTTGTGGAGGGCTCCGGGAAGAAATAGACGCAATGAATCAGAGCGTAATAATTATCATTTTTTATTTTTTGTGTCAATTTTTTTTTTAAATAAATTTATGAAAATAAGTAATAGATTTGATTATCCTACTAAAAAACGTTTAGGTCATTTCTAGAACGTTTCAGCAATAGTATAAAAACTTACCTAAGATGTTTGAGCAACATCGCAGGATGTTCCACAAACGTTTCTGAGAAACGTCTCTAATACGTTACAAATGATGACATGGTCATTGCTAGAAACATCCCAGGTACGTTGGAGGGAGAATAAAAAACATGACAGAGACGTTTCTAATGTCCCAAGGGTATGTTTCTGGAACGTTCGTGTAACAATACTTTGCTATTAGGGAGGTACTTTTACTATGGGAACCTTTTCCATAAACTTAAAAAGTAAAAATGCTTCCCCAAATTTTTTTAAGGCTCGTCCCTTTCCGTTCGCAATAAAAGAAAAGGTTGAAACGGAGCTAGAGCGACTTTAAAATTTAGGGGTTATAGAATTGATAGAATATAGTACATGGGGGACTCCCATAGTTCCAGTTCTAAAGGGAGATGGTTCGGTCCGCATTTGTGGAGATTTTAAAATTACGATTAACCCTTGTATTGAGATAGATCAATATCCTCTGCCTCGAGTCGAGGAACTTTTTGTGAAATTACAAGGCGGTGCACATTTCACAAAATTGGATTTAGCTAATGCTTATACGCAAGTATGTCTAGATGAAAAATCTGAAACCTTAGTAAATATTTCAACCCATAAAGGATTATTTAAATACAACAGAGCACCATTTGGTATACCAAGTATTCCAGCTAAATTTCAAAAATTATTGGATTCACTTTTAGTCGGGATTCCTGGTGTTGCTATATTTTTGGATGACATTTTAATTAGTGGTAAAAATAGGCAAGAACATATGTCTCGTTTGAATTGTGTTTTGTCAAAATTAAAAGAGGTGGGCCTCAAAATCTCTTTAAAATAAGTGTGATTTTTTTTAAAGACAAACTATCTTATTTAGGTTTCGTGATTTACCGGGAAGGATTACACACATCTGAAGAAAAAAATTCTGCAGTTAATAATGCTCCGAGTCCCGAGAACGTTACGCAACTTAAATCTTGGTTAGGTCTTATCAATTATTATGGGAAATTTTTAGCAAATTTATCAACAATTTTACACCCCTTACATAATTTGTTGAAGGCGGGGGTAACTTGGTTTTGGTCACCAAGTAAAAAAGTTGTTGACATCCGCCCCAGTTCTTGTACATTACAATCCTGATTTATCTATTAATCTAATTACGGATGCTTCACAATATGGGGTAGGTGCCTTATTAGCTCAAGTTATGCCTGATGGTATTCAAAGACCAGTAGCTTTTGCGTCGCGAACGCTTTCGACAGCTGAAAAAAATTATTCGCAGGTTGAAAAGGAAGGTCTCGCGATTATATTTGGGCTTTGCAAATTCAACCAATATTTAAACGGTCGTGTTCACATTGGTCGTTGATCATAAACCATTAACGGCAATATTTTATCCTGAAAAAGGAATACCCTAGTTCTCGGCCAATAGGTTACGCCGCTGGGCGGTAATTTTATCAAATTATAATTATAAAATAGAGTTCGTAAAATCCGAAAAAAATCTGGCAGATTCTTTGTCGCGTTTTCCAGAAACAGCATATGAATTAGCACAGAAAAATGTAGAGACATAAATTTTGTCAATTTTATTTCTAAATTTTAAAAATTATTAGTCGGAAACCGAAAAAGACAATAATCTAGTAGCCGTTCGGTATCAGGTCGTAAAAGGTTGGCATGTTAAAAACATTCATGAGTTAGATTCAGAAATGAAAGCCTTTTATAGAATTCGACATAATTGTTTATTGTGGAATAATAAAATTATAATTCCTACGTCATTAAGAAAAATGATTTTTAACGACCTTCATTCCTCTCACATGGGTATTGTAAAATCTAGAAGTTTGGCTAGATCTTATTTTTGGTGGCCTAATTTAAACAAAGAAATTGAAAAAATTTGTAATAACTGCGAAAATTGTATATTAAATAAAAAATCGCCTAATAAAGCAGTGTTAAGCTGTTGGCCTTATCCGGATGAAGTATGGTCCCGTTTACATCTTGATTACTTAGGCCTTTTTTTGCAAAAACATTTTTTTAATTTTGGTAGATTCTTTTAGTAAATGGATCGAAGTTTTTTCAGTAACTAACATTACATCAAAGACAACCATCTAAATTTTGAGAACTATTTTTGCAAGATCCAAAGCTTATCGTTACTGATAATGCAACAAATTTTTCGTCTTTAGAATTTGAAACGTTTCTGTCTCAAAATAATATTATGCACATAACTTAACCTCCGTATCAACCATCTTTGAATGGCGCAGCGGAAAATGTGGTAAAAACCATTAAAAGTGCTTTAAAAAATGCCTTGGGGAAAGCAGTGCTTTGGATATCAATAAAGTATTGAACATTTTTTTATTTGATTATAGAAATGTAACTCACTGTACCACTAGTAGGAGTCCTGCCAATCTTATGTTTAACCGTAAGTTGCACACGCGTTTTATTTACTTTTACCTGATAATAACAAAACGGATACAGATTTAAAAAATAATGTCTTGGAAAAGCAGGACTTACAAAAGAATTACCATGGAGGATCTAGAAACATAAATTTGTGTGTAGACGATATAGTCTTAGTAAAAAATTATCAAAATGTGAATAAACCTACATGGTGTAAAGGTATAATTTGTGAAAAATTAGGTAATTGTGTATATCGTATAAAAATTCCTCATTTAAATTTAGTCTGGAAGCGCCACCTGAATCAAATTAAATTAGTCAATCATGTGGAAGCTTCACTTCCCATTTCACCTATGATAGTTTCTGAAAATTCAGGTGTTGCCTCCGGATCTAATGTAAATGATGTAATACCGGAAACTAAAGAGACATAAATTATTTAAAGTCAAATTCCAAATTAAAGTGAAATTCCAATTCCAACTTTTTGTGCGAATCACAATGAAGAAAGTGTTGATAGTGTTCGTCCTAAAAGGAACATTAAACCAATAGAGCGCTTACATTATGAAACTTTTTAATGCATAGACTTTTTTTTGGGGGAGGATATTGTAGTGTATGTATAAAGTTTGCTAGATACGCCACTGAAAGATTTCGTGGAATGCAAAAAGAGTATGTAGCAAGCGAAAATAGGCAGTTGTAAATGGGAATTTGGTCTGAATAAATGTGTTTAGTTTACGTGGTACCGGCTTATTATTTTAACCCTATAGTTATTGTGGGTAACACCCCCAATACATCACAGAAAACAAAGTCAAAAGAGCATACATTGCTTATGAACAATATCGCCGAACCGTGGAGCGCGCCTGTGGTTTATCCTCCAGAGTCGTCGCATGGACTTACACGGCCATCATAAGACCTATGCTAACATACGGTGCAGTTGTCTGGGTACCGAAAACCCAAAAATTTACAGCTATCCACAAACTAGAACAAATTCAAAGAACAGCGCATATCTCAACCTAACAGGAGCCATGAAAACCATACCGACGAGAGCCACGGAAATCATTCTTAGTCTCACTCCACTTGATATTTACTTCAAGGAGGTTTCTTTGATGACAATGACACGCCTCCGCACGGTTGGAATAGAACCTGATGTACGATCTGGTGAGGCAAGATGTCGCTTTTGGCAGGAGGCGCTCGATACGCTCCCTCTGTTTCAAGCGAACATGCACTCCATCTCATCGAGATATATCTTCTATAAGCCATATAAAGTTATAACAGAACAAATAGAAGAGCCGTAAGTGACCATTCATATCTACACCGATGGTTCTAAAACAAAACAAGGCTCAGGATGTGGAATATACTCCAGATCCTTAAACCTCAACATAAAATGAACTGTGAGCATTGATGCCAGTGTAATTGAAACCAAGCTCACGGGGATTATCATAGCAGCAAAAGAAATGACCAGAAATAATATCACTGGAAGAAATATGCTCATCTATACAGATATCAGACAAGCACTACTCCAACTGGACAGACCACGAATTTATTCAAGGTTTGGAGTGAGGGTAGCCATATGTGAGTAGTAGGGATTAAGTGTAAAGGTTAAAGAAAAGGTCCTTTATTTCTCACAAGTCATTTGACTTGTGAGAAATAAAGGACCTTTTCTTTAACCTTTACACTTATTCAAGGTTAGTACTAGAATGTTACAAAGCTTTGGCCGAAGTATCCTTCAACAATGTGGTCAACTTAGGATGAATCAAAGATCACGTCACATCGAAAGGTAACCGTCTTGCTGATTCACTCGTCAATAAGGCAGCCAACCAAATACTTTTTGGACCTGGCCCTTCTATTCGACTAACAACATCGGTAGTGACACACTTATTTACAGAACATTCCCTTGTGAAATTCAAGGAAATGTGTGATAAAACAAGAAGCTGTAGACTTGCCAGGAAGTTTCTAAGTTATCCTGACAACATTACTGCAAACAACTACGACTAGACAGAATCTGCGCCTGATCACAGGCATTCTGACTGGACATTGCCAACTACGAAAGCATCTCCATATCATGAGGCTGTCAGAATCTGCACTCTGCAGTGGATGCGAACAAGAAGATGAGACCATCAAGCATATCCTCTACTATTTCCCGACGCTCTCTTTATTAGAAGATTTGTGTTAGACGAGAAGTAGCTAACACCGGCCGATATAAGAGGAGCACCTCTTGGCGACGTTATCAACTACATTAAATCTGTAGGCTGGCTCACGAGCTAGAAGATGCCTTTTATGCTTAGAAGGGCAGAATTTATATTTATAATAATTTTTTGATTTAGTTTCAAGACTGTCATTGGGAATTTAGGAATATGTAATGTACTTTTGGCAATAAACAAATACAATTTTCGTTATAAACAATATTTATTTAAACTTTTACTTATTCCACAACGGCTGATTTCTTACAAACCTTGAAATGAGATTTAAAGCCCATGCAGGTTGATCAGTAGGCACCATATGACCGGAATTTCTAACCATAACTTCAGTTAAGTTACCAGCTTCTTTCACGTACCAAGCTATTTCTTTATCATCACTCCAAAAATGTCTAGCAGCTGTTTTGTATTCATTAGCAGCACTAAAATTCAAGTTTCGTATGAAATTGACGGTAGATGTATAAGGTACTATAAGGTCGAGTTGACCATTATAAAAGAGTACTCTGATGTGGTTTAATATTTCCGAAATCCAAGGCGCCACTGAATCCATAATATCGCTTAACAAATTCTTTTCAGTTTCTACTCCGTTGTTGAATGTCAAATTGCCTACGTGAATGGCTTTACGGATATGTTCCTGTTGTATGAAATAACTGACAGGCTCTTTACTTCTATCAGAATAAGCGTTTAGAAAATTGAAATAATTGGTGAAACCAGTTAAGTTTTTGAAAAGGGTGTTGCCTCCATTAAAATCTCCATTAAGAAAATTGTCAAATACACGAAAAGCTTTGTCGAATTGTTTTTTTCTTATGTAATATATCACTGAAAAGACAAATTGTTAAAAATATATCTTCTCTAAATTGTAATAATGGATGTTTCTTTTAACACATTTTTAACTTGACTAATAAAATAAACATAAAATGGATGAAGGTAAAAATTTCTTATGCAAAATGACTTTCCGTCAAATGTCGTACATTTTGGATATTATTGTAGTACTTGATCTCCAGACTAAATATGTTCACATTCTTATTTTTGTGTGCTTGCATCGTTGATAATATAATAGAAACCTACATATACGTTATTAAAAATTTTGAGCAACAGTACGGTCATGATTGTTGCATTAAAAAAAATCGCTCTAGTTATATATTGTGGACATAATAGACTCTTTAATGTTATAATTAGATTATCTTTGCCTAATAATCATTTTTAGTTTATAAATAGGAGTAAAACCTTATTATTATTGTTATTTGTGGTAGCTTTAGTGTAGGCTTTGGTCCAGAGTTGTCTTTTTGGGTATTTTTACTTAATAAAAATTTTAAAACTAAAAGTTCCGTTTTGGAATTTATAACTGGCGTAGTCAGTAGGATACACGCGAGTCGTGAAAAAGTTTAATCGAGTTCGCTGTTGCTGTGCCGAATATTAACTTTTCGTGACTTTGGAATTTTAATTCCTAAAGTGTGATTCCTAACGAAGAATTGGTGGACGTCATCCCTTTTGTGGCGACAGTAGAAGAATCGTTGATTGGACAAGTTGGTAGTTTATCTTACAAAGAAATTTTTATATTGTAAGTTCTTTAAATTTTGTAGGTGCTTAACAAGGACAAACTTTTTTATAAACTCATATTACATGCCTCTTTCTTTGATTATTTTCATAAACTACTTTATTATTAATCAAAATGTATACACACCTTTACATTAAAAGTTCTGAATACTCTGTTACAGCTTAGATTCCAGTATCAGTATTTTTGACAGCTCTAGTAAGAAACCAGATGATAATTTATCTATACCGCACACATTTATGGATGATAATAAGTTAGTTTACTACCTAGTTTTACAAGTTAAAAACTATCAATGGATAGGTTTATTGTTGTACAGTTCTACATGTTTTCGGATTTTACAAAATTCTTATTACCAGATCCGCTAAAAAAGCGTTCCATTTAAAATCCCCACCTTGTATATAAGTATGGTAAATTTATTGATTTAATAACTTTTATAAATTTAGTAGTGTTAAAAATCTAAATTTTGATTAAAAAATCTCTCATTTACCAATTTGTAAAACTGTTCAAATATTAACCCCAAAATTGAATTCGTAAATTTGTTTAAAATAAATCTTGATTTATTTATCTTGTTTTTATTTTATTTAACATCTTTGTATGTAATAAATGTATTATTCTTGGAAAAAAATAGTGTTTTTAAGCTTTTTACCTACATTCCACTGAACTTCATACCCTTATACCAAATCCAATTGGTTTTAAAGTTTAAACCATTATAAAGTTTATTGCACACCACATCGGTTAGTATTTCATTATTTTTTTATAATTAGTTATGATTTTATATTTAATAAGGTACGCCACTGGTATCAACAGACTTTTAGTTGCGTACAACAGCAGCGTTGCCAGACGAGATTTTCGATTACAGTCTGTCTTCTTTCGATCCGCATAAAATATCTTCTCTTTTCCGATGATTGGGACCAAACAAAACAAACTTTATGAATGAAATGCATCGTTTGTTGTTTCTTTTATCTAAGATAATGACCCAGAATTGGATGCACATATAATAGAAATGTATCCATGAAAAATTAGTAGGAAAGGCTGAGATAATGGTAGGAAACAGAATTGAAATTAATACTTGGATAGGTTTAAAAAATGCTATGTTACAATGTTTCTTCGATCAAAGAGATTTAGATTGCTTATTGCAGGAATTGATACGTAGTAAACCCTTAAAAGGTAAACATTTAATAAATTTTGCGAGTAGATTTCAGTTGTTAAGAAGTAGTGTTATTCAGCGAATAAGTAATGATCTAAATTTAACACCAATGGAAAAACAAATTCAAAGTTATCATTATGCTAAAATGGCTCTAAATACATTCGTTGCAGGATGTACGGGAACACTGAAAAACAATATGCATCTGAAAAAGCCAGAGTCGCTAGTAGAAGTTGTTGCTTATGTTTCCGAATCTGAAAATTTTGAAACTTTTTTTAATAATATTTCATATGAAAGAAACATGACAAAACTTAATTCAAATTTTTATAATAAACAAAACACTAGACATTTTAAAAATTTTCAAAGAAATATTAATAATTCCTATATGACGAAATGCAAATAATATGAATCCAAATTATGATTTTTACAAACCAAATTTTTATCAAAATAATCAAAGATCAAATTATTTTTCAAATAATTATCCCAGAAATAATTTTGAAAATTCCCATTACAGAAATCAAAATTATTATCAAAGAAATTTTAATCAAAATCCAGTAAATAATCAATACAAAGCTAATTTAGATAATTTTTCTTGTCAATCTATAAATGTACAACCAATGCCACAATTAAATAAAACATATTTTACTAACTAATAAGTTTTTGGACCAAAAAATGTTTTCAAAACAAATCAAATTCCAGAAAGCTAATTGTCTAAACCAGAACCGATGTCAGCTACATCAAGAAACCCTTCTTTTCAATCAAAAAGACAATTTTATGGTAACAGAAATTTCCAAAATTATAATTCAAGATCAAATTTTACTTTTAAAGAATTACATTCTAATTTTTGCAATGATATCAATTTAAATAACAAAAATGAGGATTATCGTCCTGGTAATTTTGAAAATCCTAATCAAATTAAATTTGAAAATGAATCAATTAAAAAAGGTGACTGAACAAAATTTTCAGATACCAGCATTACTAACAACAAAAAGATAGTGGAATTGCACAATATTTTATTATTATTATTATTTACTGACATGAGCTGAGAACCGAAATCCTATAAAGCTCATATTATTCAAAATAAGTTTAGTTAAAAATAAAAAAAAAAATTTATAAACTATAACTATAAATTGATAATAAAAAAAGAAATAAAAGTATAAAGACAATAAATTACGTTAACTTACATTACAATTTGTTGTGATTATAATTTATTATGTCTATACAAATATATACATACTTAGCCTAATGAATCTAATTTGTTTTTAAACGAGTTAACTGAAGGTGCGCATACAACGTTATCAGGTAACTTGTTCCATACAGAGAAAACTCGATTTGAAAGAAAATTTTGCCTAATTCTAGAGTTAAAATTTTCCTTTTTTAATTTGAATATGTGCCCACGTAGACGAAGGTCATTATTTAATACAAATAAATCCGAAAGACCGACACCGAACATGTGCCTAATTGCGCGAAAACAAACAATTCAATCACCACGCAGTCGACGCTCACTAAAAAGAGTCAGATTAGCAGTAGACAGACGCTGTTCATACGATGGCCTTCTTATACCATACGGAAGCCTTGTTGCAAGTCGCTGCACATTTTCCAACCTATTTTGATCCGAGATTAATACGGGACACCAAACAGGACCACAGTACTCCAGGCGAGGATGAACATATGTTGCGTATATTTTCAAAAACGTTGAGGGAGAAACATTGCCAAAAGTCTTTTTTAATAAGAATAGTTGAGAGTTTGATTGTTTGCATACTGATAATATATGCTCTGAACACGTTAAGTCTTTAGTAATGATAACGCCGAGATCATTTTGGGACGATACTGCCTTTAAGGCATTATTATTAATGTTATACATTAATTTAGGATTGTTTTTATCGATATGAAGAACAACACATTTATCAACGTTTAGCGGTAATAACCAGTCTGAACTCCACTTTGATACCGCACTCAGATCAGATTGAAGAGACTGGTGGTCCGCAATTGGATTAGCGTAGATTTTTGTATCGTCTGCATAGAAGGAGCATCAGCTTTTTATGTGCACAGAAATATCGGCAGTATATAATAGAAAAAGTAGGGGACAAGGACTAATCCTTGAGACACTCCACTGACAACGGATTTGGTTTGAGAGAAACTATTACCATCTCTTACGCGAAAGTGTTAAGAAATCCGTTACCCAAGCTATTAAGTTGCCTCGGATTCCTAGGTGTTCAATCTTTTTGAGAAGTCGGTGCTTTGGAACTTTATCAAAGGCTTTAGAAAAATCCAAGTATACAATATCTGTAGGAAGACCAGCATCTAAGGCTATTGTCCAGTCATTGACAGAATGCAGGAGATTAGTTAAGGTAGATCATCCTCTGATAAATCCATGTTGTTGGGTGGGAAGTACCCGTTCATTTTCAAGAAAGTAAGTAACCTTATCACATATTATGGACTCCATTACTTTACAAACTATAGTTATTTGGGTTAAGCTTATTGCACTTTTTGAATATAACAGTCACTGACGCAGTCTTCCATATATATGGCAAGATGTGAGAATTAAAGGAGGAAGTCATTATACGGGAAATAGGATAACAGAGAGTGTCAGCACAAGATTTTAAAAGAAAAGAGGAGATACCATCTAAGCCTGGCGAAGAGTTGGACTTTCAAACAATTCATTACCTTATATTGAAATACGCGAACCCAAGCTAAAACTGTTAATTAATGCGAGAAGTTGTAGGTCAATAATAAAACCTTCAGTAATAAAAAAATATTTTCCGCAAACAATTTACCAATCAGAACTTATCCACAAATATGGGAAGTCAACAGATTAATTATCAAGCTTTAGTGCCAGCATTTGCAGAGTTTAACTCTAATCATAAATACATAGACTTTATTCCGTACGATTTTCATGAATTTTTTTATGGCGTATTAGGTTTAAGAGATTAAACAAACTTGAACTTGATTATAAATTTGACTCAACAAAAGTAATTAGGTGATAATTTTGAAATTCCATTTAAATATAGTACAGTCAAAGAAACAATACTTTCGTGTTGTGAAGATATAAAAAAAAGATGAAACAGAAAAAAATAATTTAGGGATCATTCCTTTTAAACTAAATAAAAATATATCGGCATTCAACAATTTTGAAACTAAATCTACAGAAGATATTTGTTTTGAAACAAACATGTATAAACTTTTTGAAACTGAAATTATTGATAATAATTCACAAAAAATCAACAGTAATTTATATAAAAATAATTTAGGAGACAATGAATATCTCCAAATAAAATGGGCGAATTTAATGCTTCAGAAACCGTATCTTTAGACATAAATATAAATGATATTGACGAAATAGTTCAACCTCTTGATGATTCTCCGAATCAACTACCTAGTCGTTCCTAAATTATGTCAAAAAATAGATATACCTAAGTTTCAAATATTTGATATGGATCAACGATACAAATTAAATGTTATACCGAGCGAGAAAAAGTTGTCTAAAATAAATCAGTGTATTAAAAAAAAATTATATTATCAAATAAAAATATTGAAGCTAGAATAAATACAACATATAAATGCAAGACAAAGGAAAAGGAAGAATTTTCATTGCAGAATAATACAATTAAAACCAAAATGAAAAAAACAGAAACGTATAATTATTATTGTTATTTGAGGTAACTTTAGTGTAGGCTTTAGTCCAGAGTTGTCTTAAATATTTTTACTTAGTAAAATTTTTAAAAATAAAAGTTCCGTTTTAGAATTTATAACAAATTATACAGGGTATCTGTAAAAGGTCTTTACAAAAACATACCACATATTCCTTAGACCAAAATAAGTCGATTTAAGTAAAATTACCTTAGTACAAAGTTGCTTCGTTTGGGCTCCAGAGGGCCTTGAAGTTACAATTTTTAAATCGTTTTTCACATATAAATTTAAAACGGCATATGCGATTTTGATAAAATTTGGTCTATTGGTAGAGATTTATGTGGCAAAAAAAATTGTATTAAAATTTTGTCCGATAATAATACATAGGCGTAGAACTTGATTTTTTAAATAATTGCACCTTTAAAAATTCTACGCCAATGGAAGAAAAGGAGTTTGAGTATGAAATTAAATTGCGCAACTCATTTACTTTAAAAAAGATACTCTTGATAAGACTCGATTACTCTCATGGTTTTGACGAAATTTGCATTTTAGTAATTTTAGAACATAAACAATAATTATTAAAATACAAACTTTGTCAAAACCATGAGAGTAAATCGAGTGTTATCAAGGGTACTTTTTTGTAGTAAATGAGTACCCAATCCAAATTTCATACTCAAACCCCTTTTTTGTCATTGGCGTAGAATTTTTAAAAGTGCAATTATTTAAAAAATCAAGTTCTACGCCTATGTATTATTATCGGACAAAATTTTATACGATGAAAAACATAAAAATGTACTTTTTTCATATCTTCTTCAACACCTCTAATCGAGACTTTTAACAAAAATACTCGATTCTTGCAAGTACGATTTTTTGAGGAATATTAATTATTTGCCTGCAATACGTATACAAAAACATTTGTTGTTGGTTTCCATAGTTTTATCTAAATAAAAATATTGTCAAGTTTTAACACCTAATCTCTTGTTAACGATTGAAAGTGTTCTATCTGACTCAATAATTAAAAAAACAAATGCGTGGTTTATTAATATGGCTGTACAATATACCAATGCAGAATATACCGATATGTTACTGACATTAGGATTTTGTGAAGGAAATGCTCGAGAGTGTCAGGGTGTACTCTGAAAGGTTTCCAAATCGTCGTGTACCTAGCCACCTAACTTTTGCTGCTGTTGAGAGACGTCTTCGGGAGACCGGTTCCTTTGCTCCCAACACTGTTGATAATGGAAGAGAACGTTTTGTAAGGATTCCTGAAGTTGAAGAAGACATTTTAGAACGTGTTGAAAAAGATCCAGAATTAAGCACCAGACGAATTGGAAGGGAACTAGGAGTAAGTACTTTTATAAAGTGCTTAGAGAACAATTGCTATATCCATACCATAAGAAGCCAGTACAAGAATTATTAGTCCATGATCCTCAAATTCGTTTGGGTTTTTGTCGATTTGTTAATATGCAAAGACAAAGAGATCCAAACTTTGTCAAGAAGGTTCTTTTTACCGATAAAGCGGGTTTTACAAGAAGAGGTATAACTAATACCCATAATGAACATGTTTATGCCGTTGAAAATCCGCATGCAATAAAGGTAAACCATTTTCAGCACGAATTCAAAATTAATGTGTGGGCTGGAATAATTGGTAATTTCATTGTTGGTCCTGTCATACTTCCACGAAGATTAACTGGAGAAAATTATTTGGATTTTCTACAAAATACGTACGTGGCCAGAATTGTTAGAAGATTTACCTCTCCAACTTCGAAGAGATATGTGGTTTATGCAAGATAGAGCTCCACCACATTTTTATTTAAACGTTAGAAACCACTTGAATGAATAATATCCACAAAAATGGATAGGCAGAGGTAATGACGCACTTGTAAACTGGCCACCACGTTCCTCAGACCTAACACCGATGGATTACTTTTTATGGGAACATCTGAAATCCACAGTTTACAGGGAACCTGTAGAAAATGAGGAACAACTCTGGCAACGTATTCAAGATGCAATAAACAATCTTAGAGGTGATAAAGAAGTTATGGAAAGGATACATTTTATTTTCTTCGACGTATAAATCTTTGTATGCGTGAAAATGGTGAACATTTTGAACAATTTTTGTAAAATCTCTATTTTGATTATGTTGTAAATAAATATTTTTGTGAAACCTTTACACTTTAAATTATTAAAACAGAAATTTAGCGAAAACCATGAGAGTAATCGAGTCTTATCAAGAGTACCTTTTTTAAAGTAAATCAGTTGCGCAATCTAAATTTCATACTTTAACTCCTCTTCTTCCATTGGTGTAGAATTTTTAAAGGTGCAATTATTTAAAAAATCAAGTTCTACGCCTATGTATTATTATCGGACACAATTTTAATACCATTTTTTTGCCACATAAAACTCTACCAATATACCAAATTTCAGCAAAATCGCATATGCAGTTTTAAAATATGGGAAAAACGATTTAAAAATTGTAACTTCAAGGCCCTTCAAGGTAATTTTACTTAAATCGACTTATTTTGGTCTAAGGAATATGTGGTATGTTTTTGTAAAGACCTTTTACAGACACCCTGTATATAGAATATGATTCCAAATATGACTACGGATATTTCTTTAAATAATTCACATAGGGGCCTTCTGTATAATGTAATTATTTTTAGACAATTACAATGCATTTATTTCAAAGACATTAATACATGGGTAGTATACGGCTGATTCATTCGTTTGATAGGGTATTTACATGGAAATATTTAAAAAAATATATATTTACTTTTTAGCAACACTGTGTTTTTCGATTCGATCCATTAAAAATAAAAAAAAAATTTGCTTGAATAAGTTAATAACCTGATATATTTTCATAATTTTACTATGATCATTTTTGGACATAGTAAGATTAACTAAACTTAAAAAATATCCTTTAAAAGTTACATACTTATAAAATAAAAAAGAATATCGTTATTCGTCGTGTGCAAGGCTTACTCCAATACTCATAACACTAACTAATTTTGATGGATGTCATTTATGTTGATTTAAAAAATGAATCAAAATTTTTTCAATGATTGTTAATACAGATGAAGGAAGATGAGTGTTTGATAGTGATTTTAATTAAAAATTGAGTTTTTGATACATTGCATTCTGAAACATTTCCTAGTTTTTTTTAGGTATTTTTCTTGTTCGTCAACATGTGGTTTAAAAAAGTCGAAAATATTTTAAACCAAACACTCGCTAAAAAATATCCAAAATTTGTCATTCAACATAAAGTCATTTTGCATAAGAAAAGTGGTGGCAATTTTTTGTTCGTGATACATAAATTTAACTATTACCTTTTTGCTCCATATTTATAAATTTTTGTCTTCCATTGGAGTCTATTAACCCTAGTTGATATACATGGTCATGAATCTCCACCTGATATTCCGGATCGCATAATCCATTTCCTATGGTTATTCCTTTCAAATTTATCTTCAAATTAGTTAAGGGATTCATCATTAAAATTTTATATGCAATAGCTGGTACATATTTTCCTCCATAAGATTCTCCGGTTACAAAAAAATCGTTGTGTTGAAGTTCGGGAAACAGAGTAAAAAATTGTTTCAAAGCTTGATAAAGATCTTCTCCTACTTTGGTTTGGTTTTTAGCGAAACCCCCTTTGGTGAAACTATATCCCGTTTGCACTGGGTTGTCGATGTAGATTACTGAATGTTTTTTGGCCCACGAATGTTGATTCAATTCCAGTTTATTTGAAGCTTTGAGGTAAAACGGGCCATTTTCTTCAAAGAGAGCATATAATGATGATGCACCTGGACCACCTTTAAATTAATTTTTAAATTTTTATAACAATAATGGATTTTCTTTTTTGCAGAAAAATAGGTTTAAAAAGGTTTAGTATAGACAAAAAAAAATAGTATAAATAAATCGCCTTTTAAAACGTGGGCTCGTGTAATAAATTGTGTCAAAAATACTTGTTTTTTAGCTCAGAATATGCATATAAAGGATTAAAAGGATTAAAAGTGAATTATATTTAGAGCATTTTTTGCGAGACAAAAGGACTTTTAGTATATATTATACTATTTTTTTTCCAACCAAATCAAAATTAATACATTATAGTGGGTTGCATAAACGAAAATTAAATTTTAAATCCAGGATAATACATTTTATCCATAGATGTTTATTATAAGGACCGTGCGTGATGACTTTAACGCCAACTGATGAAAAAAATGTGAACTTTATGGGGAAATTTATTAATGTTTTATACGGCATTAATTGTTTAGTAATTATTAATTAAATAAAGTCGAATTATTTTCGTAATATCATTATCGAAAAAACTTGTTGAATCCGTGGTATGTACAAACACATCACTTTGGAAACCTGGATTTGATTCGATAGTAAAGAAATTTTATAAAATTTCACACCCAATGATATACATAATTACATAGGTTGCTTATCCATATGTAAATCAGACGACAAAAAGCGTATTTCACTGGGCAAAGTTTTCTTGTATATTGTATCAATTTTGAGCACTTAGTTGTAAACAACATTTACAGAACCGGTTTAGAAATTAGAATCTTTAGTGTTTTTTTGCCATTAATATAATTTTACAGATAATTAATGATTTATTCTGTTAATTAAAACTGATGTAGAATGTTGGCGTGAAATCAGAATGTCCAACTTGACAAAAATATCATGGCCCTTTTTACAATTTAATAACTATTTATCATTTATCACTAAAATGAACAAAGCATAGTTAATACATTGCAATAACTGTCAAAAGAGATTGCAACAAACTTTAAAATATTCAAAATCCAGCGATTTTTCTAAAAATGTTTAGTAACATTACCATTAAACATTACTTATATTAATAGATCCAATTACAACTCTTACCAAAGTGGTTTATATCTCATATCATCAAAGTTGTTTACATTAGCTTTTCAAAGTTGTATTACATATTATTTAACTACATGGAAAATTAACTTTCAAAATACATAATAACATGTCTTGCAGTAATTATTTTCTTTTTCTAAAGATTAAAATGATGAAATTTTATTTTAAAACACATTTGGGTCAGAACTGGCTTTTCGTAATCTTTTTTATAAATGGGTGAGCAATCTATATAATTATGTATATCATTGGGTGTCTCATAAACGTCTAAGGTAGATGAATGACATTTCGACTAACATAAAGCTATAAAAAAATATTATTGTTATTCTCAATCTTTTTTATTAATTTACATTTTTTAAATGTTATTGTAATAAATTCAGTGTTACTAAATACCGATATTTTGACATGGGATACACTTGCTTGAGGTACGACTTTACAATTTATTGTCACTAAGCCATTTAAATATTTTTGCTCAAAATGTACATATATGTCCAGATTTTATTAATTTTTCACATTTTATATCATTTTGATCATGTACACGAATGTCTGTTACAGGCTGGTGCAGTAAACGCCAAATCTAAAGAACCAGTGCAAATGCTCAATTTCGTTTACTTAAAAATCGCCACGCCCATTCACAATTTGAACCTTGTCCTTGTTTACGGTCAGTAGCGTAACGAATAGATCATTGTTTGTTTCTTGTTTCTGTGTTTTGGTTAAAGTGACTGGTTTTATTTTTGATAATGTCTTCTATTGTGGGTGAAAAAAAAGCGCAGATCTATTATTAACGGACAAAGTCGTGAAGTAATATACAATGTTTTTAAATATTTTGACGCAACAAAAAAGGAAGGAGTTACTTTAGATGATATCAAACTTCAAACTGCACAAGCAACAGGTAAACATACTCTGTAGTTTATTTGCAATTAAACTTGCGTAGTTTTCCATATTTTTTTGTATTTTACACCTATGCATTTTATTTTTATTAATATTTTATATTTAAATTTTTAAAATTTATCTACTGTTTCTAAAAATTTTTGTTTCCTAATAAATGTAAAAAAATACTAAATTTAACATTAATATAATATTACGTTTTTACAGGTGTTTCTTATACTACTGTTAAAAGTCAATGGAAACAACTGGAAAAATTACATTTTCCACACCTAGGAAAAACTTCGTCAAAACATCAACCGCTACGAATTTCCCTGAATATCAATTGAGGGACATTCGAACAATAATTTACGATTTTCATATAACAGAAAAGTCTCGTGTTACTGTTAAAAGGTTAAATAATAAAATTAAGGAAGATTTAGATATCCACATATCAGAAACTTCATTAAGAAGACTCCTTAAAAAATTTCAATTTGAATGGAGAAAAACACAAAATAATCGTAAAGTTTTGGTGGAAAAAATGAAAATAAGAACTTTAAGAGTAAAATATTTGAGACAGATGAAATATTTTAGAAGTCGTTTATTTAGATGAAACATATATACACAGCGGACATACTTCTTCCAATAATTGGACAGACGATTCAACAAATGGTTTGTTTTCTGTAATTTCTAAAGGCCAAAGGCTTATTATAGTTCACGGTGAAGGAGAAATGGGTTTTATCAAAAATAGTTTGTTGATATTCAAATCAGGGACCAAGTCTGGGGATTATCGTTCCGAAATGAATTCGGAAAATGACGGCAAATGGTTACGAGAGAAGTAAATACCTAATCTTCCACCTAATTCAGTAATTGCACCTAATTCCAATTCTTTGAAGAATGATATGATCGAATGGTTGACAAAATACAACATACCTTTTAATCCAACAAGTTTGAAACCAGAGTTATATGAACTGATTAAATCTCATAAGGACCGACATGTAACATGCATTTGATGAGTTGTGTCGAGAATACGGCCACACCGCTTTACGGTTACCCCCATATTACCAAGACTTGAACCCTATCGAATTGATTTGAGCAACTGTTAAGAATAATGTCAGTCAAAGAAATGTTACCTTTAAATTAGAAGACGTAAAACAATTAGCACAAGAAGAATTTAACAAAATCGGTATGGAGGAATGGAAAAAGAGATGCGATCATGTTATAAAGGTAGAAGATAAATATTTTGAAAGAGAAATACAAACTGATTTATGTTCGGAAATTAATCCTATCGTCATTAATCCTAATGAGGATTCCACTGACAACAGTGACGAGTCTTCTTCCAACGAAGAATCTGACGAAGACATATGAACATTATTTATTTGTGATTTACTGTTTACGTTGTTGTGGATAGAGAAGGCAATGGACTGATTACAGTTATTGTTGATGGAGTGTGGTCGAAACGTTCATATAAAGTTAACTACAATGCTTTATCAGGAGTGGTAAGTATTTAATACAATTTCATTTTAATTTCTTGATAGTTTCGGCCTTTACTTGATGAAAATCCATATTATTAAAATGAGAAAAACCAAACATGGTAGATTTTCACACTTCTATTTAAAGAAATAAAAAGTAAAAATTGCACGACAATTGTTTCTAGGTACAACTTCTTCAAATGTGACTCATTTACATTTCTAATATATATACAAAATAAACTAATTAGTTAAAGTAGGTACTTAAGAGAAATATATTAATAAAATTCCAATAAGATGTCATTACCGGGATTATCTCACAGAAAACTAAGAACAGGTAAAAAAATTTAATTAAGCTCAGTTATTAATATCTAATTGATCACTTAAGAGGATATTTGAATTTTTAAATCTATTTATTTTAAGTGTTTCTAAATGGTTTAATTTAATGCCTTTATTCTCAAAATGTGAAACAATTTTTACATAAACGATTGATTTTCAGATAAAAATATGTTTTGTAGAATTATTTTTGTTTTTAGTATAACTATTGTAATGTTTTAAATAGCTTTTTTTTTTGAAAGTACGGCCCGTTTGACCAATATGCAATTTTACCACAATTTAATTTATTTGAATAAGGATAATTTCCTGACCGTAACAGAAGTTTATATAAATACCGAACGAAAAGCGGTAGAACACCCTTAACCTAAAGTCGGCTTACTTAATAATAATGATTTTTTAATTGACTATAGAATTATGTACTAATAATAACACTAAGCAATATGTATGAACAAGTATCATTCACTATTTTCCATTTATTTTATGTCTTGAAATATACGCGCCCCTGGTTTACAACTTTCTAGGTAAGCTATATACCAATTCTATTCATCGGTAGGTGTGTTCATAGCATTATAAATGCGCATCCTTGGTTCTTTAGATCTGGCGTGTACTGTATCTATATTTAACTATATTTAATATTTAAAAAAATATCCTTTATTATTTACTTGCAATGTTTTTACCCCATTTAATTTTAAAATTAAACACTTGAGCGTGCTAACTTCGGCAGTAGTGCTGCCTCTATATTTCACGCACGGTCCCTATCTCTATATTTTATTTTTATTATCTAAGATAATGTCATGTTAATGGCAACAAATGACAACTAGTTTGAAGGACCAAAGAAATAAAATGTGGTATATCCACAAAAATCATAGTATTTTCAATCCATATAATCTATAGAGATAAACATCCATGAATAAAATGTATTATCCTAGTTTCAAAATTTAATCTTCCACTCTAAGTTATTCAATAATCGTTAATAAGTTTGTAATAAATTTGAAAATTATAACAGCGATGACAGGTAAGTCGTCATGGTGATTGTAGGTAAATATTAAATATTGGTTGTCAAGTAGACATACATTTTACAATCGAGCGTATAATTTTTTTAGTAGTTTTGAAAATATCTTATGAACTAGATACAAATATACCTGCGGATATATAGGAAAGTGCAGAAGATATAGATGCCCAATTAGTTTGTTTTACTATGTTTGGAATAGACAATGTTTTTTCTTCAAAGTTTAATTTAAATGCAATTATAACTTTTAATC